ACTTAATGTTGCCATTTCCTATGAATCAGTTTCCTTATTTTGGTTAAACATTAATATAACCATTTAACTTAAAAAAAAATACTTCATATTATATTTCAGCTCTTAAAAATTTTGACATTCAATGTATTCCACTTTGGCAACCTTGATGTGAACATAAAGCTTACAAAAATGTGTTTTGCAAAGGTCACACCGTTGGCCTCATTTCTGATACTAACCCTCTCTGTTTCTACTGGTGTTTGGACAAATATTGTGTAGTTCCTTTTTTTTTCAGCATATAGTCATTGCTCTCAATTGCCTTAGAAGTAATTTTTCCCCGTATGTTCACCCAAACTAAAAATCAAATACTTTGGTTTCTTTTGAAAGTCACAAAAGAAGATTTGTGTGTATGTATCTTCATATATACAAAGTTTATAAACCCTACATATCCTTATGTAGTTTATTAACAGCATTTCCAATGCAAAAATAACTTCTTTGTTTCCTTCAGCCCCATTCCTGCCCTTCATAACCACCTGAAGAAGACTAACTTACCTATTTCCTTTCACAGTGATCATGTCTGCCCTGTAGGGCAGTGATTAGTCCAAATAACAAAACTTTATTTTCGTATTTGTTAGTTGTTGGCTATCTTTCCTGCATTCCCTTGCTTTTAAGGACATCATACCGGTTGGATGTTAAAGCTTCTGGAATTGTCCTTCTAACTCACTTTTCTTCCTCCCTCACCTCCCACTCCCAACTGCTCCAAGAGAAAGACCAATTGCTTTCTGTTCTGGATGCTTTCTTATCACACAGGTGCTCTACAAAGAAAACCTGGGGACAGGAATTCCAATCCCCACCACTCCAGAGATGCAGAGAGTCAAACACAATCAAGAAAACCTTAGCTCGGTATTTTGAAAAGAAAGGGGGAAAAAAGATTCCACTTAACCTAATAATTAACTTGATTCTTAACATTTCTTTTTCTTTTTTTCTGAACCCATTTCCTTTCCTTCGCTTTTAATATAACTCATTTAGCCAAAGGACACACTATCTTACTCCTATGATACCACTGCTGATTCTAATTTTATTTCTGTTCATTCTGATTTTAATTTCACCTGGTACTTTGAAACACTTAAAAGAATAACAAGTCTTTTTGTTTGCTTGGGTAACAGCAAAACCAGTTTCTAACAATCTCAAACTGCCATGTGATTGTTTAGGAGGCACTGTGCTCACAGAAATGAAAAAATAACATTGATAACTCAGACAGTCTTTCCAGCAATAGCTGAGGTCCTTGCTGCCATACAGGGGAGAAGTTTCCCCATGCCAATAATGGCTTTGATTAGAGTAATGTGTGGCATCTTGTCAGCATATAACTCCTGGCTCCCTGGACTACTGTACCACTTTGTAACAAGAAAGTTGAACTCACACTTGAAACTTCCCCACAAGTGAAATAAATGTTACTTATGGTTGTTTTTCTGGATGCTTTCTCATCACACAGGTGTTATACAAAGAAAACATGGGCAAGGGAACCCCTTTACCTGTCACTCCAGAGATGGAGAGAGTCAAACACAATCAAGAAAATATTAGCTCGGTACTTTGGCAAGAAAAGAAAAAAAAAAAAAAAAAAACTACTTCTTTAATGGATTTAAAATAATACATATTAATCCTACTTTTTAAAGACAACTTAAATTTTGTGAATTTCTTGACCACATTTATCCTTCTTTCCTATAAGGCTACTTCTAGCCTTAACCCCTAATAACAAGATTGCTTTAATCCATAATTTAAAGTTCTAATATCCAGAAGTAACAGATTGTCCTATAAAAACACCCTTTCACTCATCTCTCTCCATACTTGCTCTCCACCCAAGGTCTCTTTGTTTTATGGACTTGTGAAATTTTGGGTGAGGAAGTGTGGGTGGCATAGTAGATGTAATGGGCTCTTTCTAGAACATTATAGTTGTGATATCGTTGTGTCATTGCACCTAAGACTTTAGGTTCTATTTCACTTTGTCAGATTTGGACAAAGAGACCTTGGGAAAAATACCCCTGATCCTCTCCTTCAAGAATAATGACAAAAATTAAGATCCAGTAATGGTTTTGGCATTTGATTATCAATTGATTTTAAAAGGAAAGTGTCAATAGAACTGGTTTTATCAGTTTTAAGTTCATTCTTTTGTCTTTATCATGATCTTTAACTGTAAATTTTAGTAAACCATTTCCTATAAGCCTGTACTCAGTGATATGCTTATAATGGACTGATTAGAGAGACATTTGGGAGCTATGGGGGCATAGTGCCTAAGACATTTGACTGCTAACCAGAAGGCTGGCGGTTCAAACCCACCAGCCATTCCTTAGAAGGAAGATTGGGCAGTCTACTTCCATAGTGATGTTGTTGTTGTTGTTATTTGCCGTCGAGTCGACCCCGACTCATAGCGACCCCTCCTTGGGTTTCCGAGGCAGTATCACTACGGAAGTAGGATTGCCCAACCTTCCTTCCGAGGAGTGGTGGTGCCTTGGAAACCCAAGGAGGGGTCACTGTGAGTCGGAGCCAGCTCTATGGCAGTGAGAGAGGGGCACTGGTGCTTGTGTAAGGAGCCCTGGTGATTCAGTGATTAAAGCACTAGACTGCTAACGGAAAGGTTGGTGGCTCAAAACCCTTAGCTGCCCTGTAGGAGAAAGATGTGGCAGTCTGCTTCTGTAAACATTACCACCTGGAGACCCTATGGGGCAGTTCTACTCTGTCCGGTGGGGTCACTATGAGTTGGTATTGAATTGATGGGAATGGGTTTGGTTTGAGGTTTGAGGGCTTGTGTGGGACCGACTTTCGCTTATGTACTGAACAGTCTTGTGGTCCTCAACATTTGCACGGTTTTCAGGTTTCCCCAACACTTGAGTGCAGTGCTTCTCAAACTTTAGAATTACCTAGAGGATTTGTTAAATCATACTGCTGAGTCTTGCCCTCAGGGTTTCATATTATGTATATTTGGCATGTTAGTTACTTCTCAGGTGATACTGATTTTGTTGTCCAGGGGCCATGCTTAGAGAATCACTACTTAACAGAATTTTTGAAAGCCATTTCCCAAACCTCTAGTGTTTGCAAGCACACTAAGTCTAAGTACTGAAAAGCGGTCCAGTCACCATCTGTCATACTGGGAGCAGCCCCAATGTTCGTTGGTCAGGACCATGCTTATAACACTTGTTTAGATTTGTGAGGTGTTTATTGTTCATAGACTAGCAATAAAATGACTGTAGTCCCTTAGCCCTTTGTGGATCACTGCATCCTCCCTTTCAGTCCTGAAGGATTTCAGGCATGGTCCTACCCTGGAAATGTGTGTCTTGCTGTGACTACATTCACCTTCCTTTGGAAACATGTTCCTTTCCCTCTAACCTTATTTCCCAAATGGTTTGACACCATGAACCTCATAAAAAGTTATTTGTTTCATTTAATGCTTTGGTAACTTTAATTCTTCTCTTTGGTTTTTTGGATCCAATGGATCCCATAGGTTTTGTACAAAGAAAATGTGGGTAAAGCCACCCCAACCCCTGTCACTCCAGAGATGCAGAGAGTCAAACGCAATCAAGAAAACATTAGCTCGGTATTGTCTTGAGAAACAAAAGTGCTTTTAATTTTGCAAAGTAACCCCTGCAGTTTGGCCTGCTGCTAACCCAGGTTAAAGACAAAATGCCGGTTACATTTGAGCCTCCTCTAAATATCATACACTTACCATTGCCATTAACTATTTTTAAGCTTTCTTCTTGAGAGCTGTTCTCACTAATAGTAGTAGTTATTTTTTTTTAATTTAATTTAATTTAAAATTTTAAGTTTAACTTTTAATCACATATAGCTTTTCCTCCAAAATTGCATCAATTTAATAACCTGACTGTTGCTTCCTAGTGACTTTCGGATACAACTTTGTATCTCATAGGTGTTGTACAAAGAGAATCTGGGGAAAGCAACCCCCACACCCTTGACTCCCGAGATGGAAAGAGTCAAACGCAATCAAGAAAACTTTAGCTCGGTATTTGAGAAAGGGAAAAAAAGAAACAAACTTTAAACTTTAACAAGCCTGGCAAACATGGTTATCCCACTAATTCATCTCACAGTTTTTCCAAAACTTTTGTGTCTCTTTTAAAATCCTCCTTTGTTCATTAGAAAAAGAACAAAAACAATAAAACCTCACAACCTCAAACTGATTTTATTATAACTACATTCAACCTCCTTTGAAAACATATCTTTTACCATCTAACCTTACCTCCTAAGTGGTTTGCCACCATGAGTCTCATAAAAAGTTATCTGTTTCATTTAATCCTTTCGTAACTTTAACTCTTTTGCCTTTTTGGTTCCAAATCTTTTGCTTTATACAATAACAGTTTAATGGCTTTATTTCCTGAGATGTTCCTTATAGAGTGTGATATAATCGAGGCATAACACCAGCTAAATGATTTTCAGAATGAGTGTTCTCCTCTCTGATGTCTGGATGCTCTCTTGGCTCCCCTAGGTATTGTACAAAGAAAATATGAGAAAAGCAACTCCGACACCTGTTACTCCAGAGATGGAGAGAGCTAAGCGCAACCAAGAAAACATTAGCTCGGTATACTCTAGGCTTAAAAAGAAGTGCAACAACTTGGAAAATAACATTTTAACATCATAAAAACGTGCACCTTCTTATTCAACTGAAAAACACACTAAAATGTTCTTTAAAAAGAGAAATGCAACATCTTGGAAAATAACATGTTAACACCATAAACACGTACTTTTTTTATTCAACTGAAAATTTTAACATGACTGTGCTTTTAAATTCCAAATGATCATACTAAGACATAATAAGTTAATTGCCAGTGTTTTCTCTTCCCTGTTACTTCACTCTGAGGTAGTCTTACAGTATAACCAACTATAACAAATTGACTTCTAACAGCCTCAATCTTCTGCTCTCCTTTATTTTTAAGGAACTCTATGAAAACAGGTAATAATATGAAATGGATGCCTCTTTGGCTTTGATATTTTTGGGCTTTTGTATCTGGAGGACTTTGATTTCTCTGTTAGCATAATTGGTTTATGAATATGGACAGAAACTTAAAAAAAATGGTCACTTGTTTTTTTATTAAAGGATAGTACTTTCAAATTCCCTTCAGCCTTGTATTTAGTGCCAATACCATAGAATATGCTGGTGCCAGTGCTACAATTTCTGGCAAACTAAAGAGGTTACTTTCTCCCTTTTCCTTTTGAAATTATACTGTCTATTCTCTTTTGACAATGAAATGTATATTTTCAAAGTCAAAGCAAGTCCTTTCTTTTCTGAAGCGAGCCCTACTTGTCCTCACGCTAACCTGTTCAACTGAACTGTTAGTCACATGTCTGGTTAGGTCACTTCTGTTGATTACACTTCCCTCACCAACTCCTTCTGTGTCCATCTGTTGGAAAGGTCTTGTGGATGTAGAGTTAGGATAGTAACATGACCTATACTCACATGTGGTCTCTCCTCCATCAGATACTATATTCTGATAGCTTCCGGAAACAAATTCAAGGCAAAGCTGCCTATGTCTTGGACACTCCAGAGATGAGACGGGTGAGGGAAACCCAACGCCACATCTCAACGGTGAGTAAGCAATTATTTAGAGGTAATTGGCTGACATATTGGAACATATGAAAAGGGATCTAGTCATCCCATCATATTTTCATCAAGGATATTCATGAAATTTCAGGTGAAATACCATGAAGACTTTGAAAAACACAAGGGTTGCTTCACACCAGTGGTGACAGACCCTATCACTGAGCGAGTAAAGAAGAACACACAGGACTTCAGTGACATTAACTACCGAGGTATTCAGAGAAAAGTGGTAGAAATGGAACAGAAAAGGAATGACCAGGACCAGGAAACTATTACAGGTAATTGAACCCTAGGGGGAAATCAACTTTAAGATAAAAATAATTAGGAGAATAAAAGTGCCCTTAACTATGTCACAACAAAGAACCTCAGTTGGTATTTTCATTGGATGTGAAAGAAAACTTCTATTATTTCATATTTTGCAAAACTGGCATTTTATTTTACCTTTTGCTTTGTTGTCTTCTGAAGAACAGACAGGAGCAGAACCGAAGCTAAATAAATTTTATTCCATCTTCCTTTTGTTGTGTAAATTCATACTTTAGTTTCCAAGTTATTAGAAGAGTCTAAGAGCATGTGTTCTGATCATTCGTGGTTTCCCTTTCAGGCTTGCGTGTCTGGCGTACTAATCCTGGCTCAGTTTTTGACTATGATCCAGCAGAAGACAACATTCAATCTCGAAGCTTACACATGATCAATGGTATGTTATGGTGCAAAGGCTTACAGTTGTGCACAAACCTCGCCAGTTAGTGGGCTAGAGTCAATGATCTGTCTGCTCCGAGGTTGCTTTCCTCCGGGGCTTTCCATTTTGAGTCTCTTGTTCAAAACGCAAACACCTAGTTGACTAGAGGGCAAAAACTGCATTTTCTAGACAAGTTCAAGTTAGAGAAAGATTTTGTTTCATGGTTCAATGTGTGTCTTCTTCATGCCCCATTATTATCATTTTTTTTTTTTTTTTTTTGCCTTAAAAAAAAAAGTTGTAAATCTATGGGGGAAATAATAGAAAAATATATATGCAAAGGGAAGAGAATGAATTTGACCTTCAGCAAATTTCTGAGCTCTGTTGGTTCAGGAAAAAGGATTCATTCATTCAAAAAACAAAACAAAACCATGTGTTCTGGTTACCTAGTGCTGCTCTGACAAGGATATATCATAAAAGGGATGCTTGAACAAACAGGAGTTTATTCTCTTACAGTTTGGGAGGCTAGAAGTCCAAGTGCTAAGTGCCAGGCTCTAGGGGCTGTGTGAAAGCCCCTCAACCTTGGGCTTCAGCTCTGCCTCTTGCCCCCGGCCCACGAAGCTAGAGGCATTTCTTCACTCAGGCAGCTACTGGCTGCTGAGGCTAACAAGCCCAAGTTTGACAAATAAAATGGCACAGTCCCAATGTTACCAAACCACATTGTTGTTTGTTTTGTTGTTATGTGCCGTAGAGTCAGACCTGACTCATAGCGACCTCTCCTTGGGTTTCCGAGGCAGTATCACTATGGAAGTAGATTGCCCCATCTTCCTTCCAAGGAGTGGCTAGTGGGTTTGAACCGCCAGCCTTCTGGTTAGCAGTCAAGTGCTTTAGCCACTATGCTGTCCCTATGAGTCGGGTCTGACTCGATGGCACATAACAACCAAACCACATGGCAGGCCATTAATTCAAGTTCACTGAAAGTCCCAAGGTTGGCAGAGCATGGCAGGCTGCTGAACAATGACACGGCTACATCCAGGTTTCAAGCATGTCATAAGCTAGAGACCATTCCCACAGCTGTCTCTTATATATGGGAAGCAGACAGCAGCCCTAAAGCAGCTACTCAGCTAATTGTGGTAGGTCCCACCATGGAGTTGGTTGCCAGTCTTATCATGGTGAATAACTACCACCAGCTTCCCGGCCACTCAACCAGGCCCAGCCAAGTCAATACATAAAAACTTAACCACCACAACATGCAAATCTTCATGCCTTTTGTTCATGTTAAAATGTAGAGTAATACAGCCCTCAAAGGATTTATACTCTAGTCTAGTAAGGAAGAGAGATGAGCAAATCAGTGGTTACGCCCTGACACATGCACTTTTCGAGGTCTGCTCAGGTTATTGAGGGAACATGAGGAAGAGCTTCTACATGAATTTGAAAGTTAGAGAAGACTCTGAAGAAGGTTAGGCGGAGTTTTAAAGTAAATATTGTTGTTGTTACGTGCCGTCGAGTCAGACCTGACTCATAGTGACCCCTCCTTGGGTTTCCAAGGCGATATCACTACGGAAGTAGATTGCTCAACCTTCCTTCTGAGAAGTGGCTGGTAGGTTCGAACCACCAGCCTTCTGATTAGCAGTCAAGTGCCTTAGCACTATGCTACCAGAGCTCCCAATATTACTATGTATTTATTTTGGTGAAGCACGAAAATGGTCAGGGTAGAAGGATGGATCAGTAGTCAAAGATGGACTCTTGGATTTGAACCTTGGCTATACTGAGGATGATAACCATACAAAATAAGAATTGTGAGGATTTTATCTATAGAAATCCACTTAAATATGTGCTTGGCAAAAACTGAGGATTCAATTAATGTTAAGCATTACCAACCAACCAGTTGCTATCCAGTCAGTTCCAACTCCTGGCAACCCCATATGTTTCAGAGTAAATTGTGCTTCATAGGGTTTTTAATGACTGATTTTTCATAAACAATTCGCCAGGTCTTTCCTCTGCCGTCTCTGGATAGGCTCAAATCCCTAACTTTTCACTATATAATTTTTGTCTTTTTTTCTCCCTCCCAATCACATCTCTCCCAGTGCAAGCTCAGCGCCGGAGCCGGGAGCAGTCACGTTCTGCCAGTGCTCTGAGCATTAGCGGGGGTGAGGAGAAGTCTGAGCACTCTGAGGCTGCTGACCACCATCTCTCCACCTATAGTGACGGTGGTGTCTTCTTCAATGCAACTTCAGCAGGTACAAGGGATGAATTTGATAAATATGGCCAGTCTCACTGACACTATAAGATCCTCTTTGAGTGTTTAAAAAAAAATAGTTTGGGTCCTCTCTTCTAATGGGAAGATGAATTGTGGAAGGGCATGTGAAGTCAAGTATTTCATTTTCGTAACTTTATCAGATGCTCACTTCTTGGAGATCATTCTTCTTGAGCTGTGGAAAAACACAATACTGCTTGGCTGCTAAGCACAGATTAAATAATACCTAGGCATGTTTTCTCTTTATAAACTATTTTCTCCTTCCTTTCAGCTTACAAACATGCGAAAACCACAGTGCTCCCACAACAAAGATCATCTTCAGTTGCTACCCAACAGACCACAGTATCTTCTATCCCATCTCATCCATCTACTGCTGGAGTAAGTAAATAATGAATGGCTTACTAAAACCATTTTTATTTTTTGATATGTGTAATAATAATTATAGATGTAGGTATTTGGTTCTTTTATGTTTTTAGAACCAAACCTGTATTATATAATACATTTGGGGCTCATTGGTCCCACCGACTATCTTAAACTGAAACATTTGCCACTTGGAATCTTTCTTCAAGAGTATGTGTACACGTGCACATGCACTACCTTCAATCTCTCCTGTTAATATATATTGAAGAGATAAGACAATTATGTTTACAATTCACCAGTCTACTTTAAAACTCATTTAAACTATGAATTAAACTTTGAATATCATTTATACCATAAAAAACATAATACTTCCAAAAGGAAATAAATAATATTTGCCTTTACTGAAGGACATAAAAGAAGATCTAAATAACTATCGATAGCCATTATATTTCAGGAAAGGTAATATTAAAAAGTTGTCATTTCTCATTAAATTAAATCAATAAATTCAAGGCAATTCCAGTCAAAATCCCAATAGCACTTTTTTCTGGAAACATGTGTCCTAATCCTAAAATTCATTTGAAAGATTAAATGTGTAAGGATAACCAGAGAATCTAAAAAATGATACTACAGAAGGACCTAACCATAAAAATGAATACTAACACACTGTTGTCAAGTAGGATCCAACTCATAGCGATCCCTCCTTGGGTTTCTGAGGCAGTATCACTACAGAAGTAGATTGTCCCATCTTCCTTCCGAGGAGTGGCTGGTGGGTTTGAACTGCCAGCCTTCTGGTTAGCAGTCAAGTGCTTTAGGCACTACACTACCAGAGCTCCTAGAGATCATATAGGACAGCATAAAACTGCCCCAAAGGCTGTAAATCTTTACGGAAGCATACTGCTTCCTTTTTTTCCTGTGGAGCAGCTGGTGGTTTCAAACTGCTGGTCTTTTGGTTAGCAGCCCAATGCTTTAGCCACAGTGCCACCATGACAAACTATGTGTCTTCCAAATAAGACTTGGAAGACTAAGTGCGGTGTAGTGAATTACATAGTGTGGCTTTTCTAGCCATAGTAAACTCTGTCGTGGTGGAATTTGCTGTGAGCAAATTATTATCTGATTATTAAAGTTATCCACTTGGGGTATTTCTGTTGGGAGCAGCATGAAGTAATTTTCTGGAAAGTTCACTCTCAGGTGTATAGAACTCTGATGTTGGGATTGGTTGGTTTTGGCCTCTCTGCCAGGCTCAAAAGGAGCTCTCCTAGAGGCAGGAGTCTCTCTGATTGCCGGCTGAGAGAAACGTGCTGCTGAAAGACACAGGCTGTTGAGAGAGAGAGACGTGAGAGACATGCACTGCTGAGAGATATGTGCTATTGAGAGATACTGAGAGAGACGGCTGGCTGCTGAGTGAGACGGCCGGCTGAAAGAGACTAAGCATATTCCTGAACTTGAATTGTGAACTGTTGCTTCCCTAATAAACCCCATAATCTGTGAGTTCTCTGTGGCAACTGCAGTGAATTATCAAACCCAGCAGAGAGGTGGTGGGTACTGCGGGAGGAATGGTTGGTGTTAAGGTTAATAGGAGGGCTAGAGGGTGGCAGCATGTCTGGCCTCATAAGAACAGGCCTTGGGCTGCTGATGGCAATTCTGTTTTCCTCTTGTGTAGTTAGAAGAGGTCAGAGGATGCTGTCTCCCTGCCCCTTTTGCAGTAAGATTAGAGAGTTTACAGCAAAATAAATAAAAGCGGATGACAAAAAGGACACTCATCATGACCAGCAGCCAGGAAAAAGCAAATTAAAACAATAATAAAGTATCATATTAGAACATTTTTTTTTTTTAAATTAAGCACAAATATGAGTTGACCTAATACTTCCTCATTTAAAACCCTTTCTTCAGAAATATTGCTCAAAGATAAATAGTAGGATATTCATTATTGTGTAAAACAATTATAATTAAATGTCCAGCAAACTGGAAATGCCTAAATAATTTATATCAACACCCAAAGAATTAGACCTCCTATTGTCTGGGCAAATCTGCTGTAAAAGACTTCTTTAAAGTGTTAAGGAGCAAAGTGTCACTTTGAAGACTAAGGTGCAACTAACCCACCAGCCACTCCTCGGAAGGAAGGTTGGGCAATCCTACTTCCGTAGTGATACTGCCTCGGAAACCCAAGGAGGGGTCGCTATGAGTCAGGGCTGACTCGATGGCACATAACAACAACAACAACAACAATCCAAGCCATGGTATTTTCAGTTGCCTCATATGTATGTGAAAGCTGGGCAGTGATCAAGAAAGACTGAAGAAGAATCAATGTTTTCGAATTATGGTGTTGGCAAAGAATACTGAAATACCATGGATGCCAGAAGAATGAACAAATCTGTCTTAGAAGAAGTGCAGCCAGAATGCTTATTAGAAGTGAGAAAGGCCAGACTTCGTCTCACTTACTTTGGTCATGTTGTGAGAAGGGATCATTCCCTGCAGAAGGATATCATGCTTGGTAGAGGGTCAGAGAAAAAGAGGAAGACCTTCAACGAGATGGATTGACAGTGGCTGCAACGATGGGCTCAAGATAGCAAAGTCTGTGAGGATGGCAAAGGACTGGGCCGTTTCTTTTTGTTATGTACATAGGGTCATTATTAAGTCTGAGTTGAGTCAATGGCACCTACAAACAACATATTAGATTAGCACATTCTGTTTTTCTCTCCGTGTGTGTGTGTGTGTGTGTGTGTGTGTGTGTGTATGAAAAGAGCCCTGGTGATCCAACGGTTAGGACTGAACTGCAAACCCGAAGGACGGCACTTGGAACCTATCTTAGTTATCCAGAGCTGCTATAAAAGAAATACCACAAGTGGATGACTTTAACAAACAGCGATTTGTTTTCTCACAGTTTAGGAGGCTAGAAGTCTGAATTCAAGGGGCCAGCTCTACGGGAAAGCTTTCTTTCTCTGTTGCTCTGGAGAAGGTCCTTCTTTCTTTGAGCTTCTTCTCCTGGATGATCTTCATGTGGCCTGGCATCTCTCTTCCCCCATCCCTGCTCTGCTAGCTCGTTAAATCTTTTATATCTTAAAAGTGATTGATCCAAGATACACCCTACACTAATCCTTCTTCATTAACATAGTAAAGAAAAACCATTCCCAAAAGGGATTATAACCATAGATATAGAGGTTAGGATTTGCAACACATATTTTTGGAGGACACAGTTTAATCCATAACAGAATCCACCAGTTGCTCTGTGCAAGAGAAGGTCTGGTGATGTGCTCCAGTAAAGATTTCAGCCTAGGAAACCCATGAGGCAGTTCTCTCAGTGTTGCTAGGAGTGGGAAGTGACTCAACAGCATACAGCAATATATATATATCTATATATATTGTATTTATATATGTATAACATATACTAGATACAAGTCCCTTATAATATAAATTTTATAGCTATGAAGGCGCCCTGGTGGCACAGTGGTTAAAGCATTCAACTGCTTACCAAAAGGCTGAAGGTTCTAACCCACCAGCCACTCTGCAGGAGAAAGATGTGGCAGTTCGCTTCCATAAAGATTACAGCCTTGTCCATGTTTATCGCAGCACTATTCACAATAGCAAAAAGATAGGCACAATGAAATACCTATCAACAGAGGAATGGATCAATAAACTATGGTACATAAACACAATGGAATACTATGAAACATTAAAGAACAATGATGAATCTGTGAAACATCTCATAATGTGGATGAATTTAGAAGACAATATACCGAATAAAATCAGGCAATTACAAAAGGACAATTATTATATGAGACCACTATTGTAAAAAGTTAAGAAAAAGGTTTCACAAAAAAATAAATATTGTTTGATGGTTATCAGAGGTGGGTGGGGATGGAGGGTAAACTAACAACTAGAGAATGGACATATATTAACTTAGTTGAGGGGAAGGCAAAAAAAAAAAAAATAGAACCCTGGAAATCCTATGGGGCAGTTCTACTCTGTCCTATAGGGTCACTGAGTCAGAAGTGACTCGACAGCAGTGGATTTGGTTTTTAGTTTGGTTATTGGTAAATAATCAGCATAGTATTAAGTTTATAATTTAAAGTGTACAGTTCAGTGGTTTATTTACATAGTTCTTCAACCATAAATACAATCTAATTTTTTTTCCTTTTTAATACAATCTAATTTTAGAACATGTTATCACCCTAAAAAAAATAAAAACCTTGAACCCATCATCAATTACTCTCTCTTTCATCCTCATCCCCTCACCTAGTCCATTTTTCCCTATTGATTTGCCTGTTTATGACACTTCATATAAATGGCATCGCACCATGTATAGTTTTCAGTGACTGGCTTTTTAAAAATTATTATCTTAACGTTTTGAGGTCTATTAATATATATATATATATATATATATATATATGTATAACATATACTAGATACAAGTCCCTTATAATATAAATTTTATAGATATGAAATTATAATTTATTATATGTATCAGTACTTTATTCTTTTTTATTACCAAATAACACTCCATTTATGGATAAAGCATATTTTGTTTAGCAGTAGGTGGACATTTGGGTTGTTTCCACTTTTGGCCATTGTGAATAAAGTTGCTGTGAACATTCTTTTACAAGTTTTTGTGTGTACATACATTTTCATTACTCTTAGGTATATACCTAAGATTTCAGCCTAGGAAACCCATGAGGCAGTATATACCTAAGAGTAGAATTACTGGATTATATGGCAAACTCTATATTGAACATCTGAAGAGCTGCCAAACTGTTTTCCAAAGTGATGGTACCACTTTAAATTGGTGCAGTAAAGTGCTTGGCCACTAACCAAAAGGTTGGCAGTTCAAACCGACGAGCCACTGAGCAGGAGAAAAATGTGGTGGTCTGCTACCATAGATTTATAAACTTGGAAACCCTATGGGGCTGTTCTACTCTGTTCTATAGGGTTGCTATGAGTCAGAATCAACTTGATGGAGATGGGTTGGTTACCACCATTTAGGAAGGTTCCAATTTTTCCACATCTTTGCCAGTACCAGTTATTGTATGTCTTTTGGATCATAGCCATTCTGGTGTTTCCTTGATGACTAATGATATGTTTCTATAGGCTGGCTATTTGTATTCCTTCTTTAAGGAAATGTCTATTTCCCATTTTTTAATTGAGTTTTCAATTACTGATTTGTAAGAGTTGTTTATATAATCTAGATAAGTCCCTTATCAGATGGATGACTTGTAAATACCTTCTCCCATTCTGTGGGCCATTTTACACTTTCTTAATGGTTACACATTCTCTTTTCTATAACTTAAATTTGCAGAGTAAGATCAGAGAGATCTTATGATTAGATATTTGGGCTAATTGTTGCAAACCAAGTATGTAATATTTTTTCTTTTCTTCCATCCCACAAACAGAAAATCTTCCGTGCCATGTATGACTATATGGCTGCTGATGCAGATGAGGTGTCCTTCAAAGATGGAGATGCTATTGTAAATGTTCAAGCTATTGATGAAGGTTGGATGTATGGCACTGTGCAGAGGACGGGCAGAACAGGCATGCTTCCAGCCAACTATGTGGAGGCTCTTTAGGTGCCTCAAAGCATCTATCACGCCTGTTGCACTTACAGATCCTCTGGTGAATAATTGTTTAGACTCTCCACTTATCACCCAAGTTCTCAAGCTGCTTTTCTGTGTCAGTATGATCATACCATCCTTAATTTGTTTCTATGTGAACCATAATAATTCTCCAGTAAAACAAATGTTAGCATCACTAATGTTTCCAATTATTAAACTAGATTTACTTTCTTCATTATTTTCTGGACTTGCACATAAACTTTAGAGGCAACATTAAATTTGTAAGTTCTTTATTTTAAAAAACTGCCATTGTCAAATTTCCTTTAATGTTTTACAACAAGTTTAATTTCAGAATAGACATTTTAAGTTTCTGCAACACTATTATTGTTCCATCAATTCAGAGTCTTTCTCCATTATGAAAATGGTTAACATTATTTTCTAAAACAAGGATTCTGAATATGCTGAATACATTAAAGGAAAAATGGCAGAAATGATCACCTTCTCCTTGCTTATTGAATGCTGATGCTTGTATTTCTAATCCAGTCCTGAAGTTATAAAGCTGATATTTAATATAAACTGGTGATAAATTGGTAACTAATAAAATCTCTAATTCTGCAACAAGCTCCACTCTGGACTGAGCATTATTTATTGTTAATAGTCTTAATAGAAAAACCCAAACTCATTGCCATTGAGTTGATTCTGACTCATAGTAACCCCCTTTGAGTTTCTGAAGCAATAAATCTTTATGGAAGTAGATAGCCCAGTCTTCCTTTCACGGAGTGGCTGGTGGGTTTTAATAGTCCATTAATCATCGGAACATGGAATGTATGAAGTATGAATCTAGGAAAATTGGAAGTTGTCAAAAATGAAATGGAACACATAAAGATTGATATCCTCGGCATT